AGCACAAGTGAGGGGACAGAGGATCTGAAGTGGGCTTTGCCTTGACAGCAGAGAGCCCAATGTGGGGCTTGAACTCATAAACTGCGAGATATTGACCTGATCTGAGGTCTGACGCTTAACGGACTGAGCTACCCAGGCGCCCCATGTTGAAGCATTTTTTTAAAACTTATTTTTAAAAAAATTTTAATGTTTTATTTATTTCTGAAAGAGAGAGAGGCAGTATGAGCAGGGGAGGACCAGAGAGGGAGATACAGAATGCGAAGCAGGCTCCAGGCTCTGAGCTATCAGCACAGAGCCTGACGCAGGGCTCAAACCCACAAACCGTGAGATCATGACCTGAGCCGAAGTCAGATGCTTAACTGACTGAGCCACCTGGGCACCCCTAAAATGTCCAGCATTTTAAGCTGTACTTGTGGGAAGGAAAGAGAGGAATGCATCTACTCCGTTTTATTCAGAACCAAAAATCCTCTTTTTATTTTATACTCTCTTCATTCCTATAAATCCAAGCTGGAGATGTTTCTGGATTTATTATCTCTTTGAGAACTTGTAGGTCACTCTGAAATCTTATTCAGGTTCCACTTGGTTACACAAAAGCCATGCCGGCAATTTCTTTGAGATAAGCCCTTCTCTGCATTAGGCTTCTGCTGAAATGGCTAAGAGACAACACCCTTTAGCTTTATAGAATCCCTATTGTTTGATTCAGAGGATCTGTGAGGCACACCTATGTTAGAGGGTTTTTTTTTTTTTTTATCTGACTGAATAGTACTCTGAGGCATTGCTTTTTGTCTTCCTGAGAAGTAAACTCAAGATCTTAACAGTCACATGCTCAGTTTTATTTTTGGACCATGTTTTTTTGTTTTTGTTTTTTAATGTTTTCAATGCCCTGGATTTGAGCTTTGCTAGGAAAGCACTTCTTTTTTTTTTAATTTTTCATTTATTTTTGAGAGACACAGAAAGACACGGCATGAATGGGGGAGGAGGAGGAGGAGGAGGAGAAAGAGAGAGAGAGAGAGAGAAAATCCAGAGCAGGCTATAGGCTCTAGGCTCTGAGCTAGCTGTCAGCACAGGGCCAGATGTGGGGCTTGAACTCAAACAGTGAGATCATGACCTGAGCTCAAGTCAGATGCTTAACCAACTGAGCCACCCAGGCGCCCCAGGAAAGCACTTCTTAATGTTACTACCATTTGCTATTTGGAGAGGCTGCGGATTTCCTGCAATGAAGTTCTGGCTCTTTTATATTTACCAGCGCTTCCCTTTAGCTCAGAGTTTCTCAGCCTCAGCACTACTGATATTCTGGGCAGAACGTATCTTTGTGTGGGGGGAGGTAGTGAGAGGGGTCTGTCGTGCGCAGCAGACGATATTTACCAGCATCCCTGGCCTCTACTAACTAGATCCCAATAGCAGCCTCTCCAGTTTCATGACCAAAAATGTCTCCAGACATTGCCAAATGCCCCGTGGGGACTGTCACTCGGAATCTACTGCCTTAGTTCCTCCCTCTCTGCTTGCACTTTACTGTCAGCAGTGAGAAGAGACCAGGTGGCACTTTCGACACCTTCCTTGGAAACGTCCTTAGCTGGATCACACAGTTCATCAGGTGTACCTTCTGCTGCCCATTTACTGCAGGTGACGGGCTGCTAACCTCTATGCTGTGACATAACCAGCTTCCTCTCCCCCAGGTCCTGTTTCCAGTAGCGTTTACCCACTTCGCTGTCTGTTCTGGCTGCTGTCTTATCAAAGGCCCGAGGCTTCTATTAACAGCGTTTCCGAGGCGCTTTCACTACACACTCATTGGTCTGCTGTGAGTTCCAGCCCCGTCGCCACATTTCTGAGCTGATAGAGCAGCACTCTACCGCAGCACCGAGGTCTAGGCGCTATCTAGTGCTGGGGCCAAACCAGTCTTAAATGTAGTGGTTTACCACGAGGACTTATTCTCTCAGAGGTTTGGGACATCAGGAATCCAGGAGTGCTCTGGCTGAGGTGGTGCTGCCTCAGTATCTCTCAAGGCTGCCATCGAGCTGCTGATCATGACCTCAGTCCACTCTCTCATGACTTCCACCTGGGCTGGTGGCTCCGTTTCCCTGCTCACACGTGTGGTTGCTGGCCAGCCTCTGTTCCTCCTAGCATCTTCAGGTGGCATGTCGCTGGTATCTTCAGTTGCTTGCCACAAGGGGCATCTCTGCATGGCTGTTGACACAGTAGCTTGCTTCCCCCAGAGTGAGTGAGCCAAGCAACAGAGGACACACACCCAACATGGGAGCTGTGGTCTTCTGTTTTTTTAATCCTAATTTTGGATGGGATCCACCATCATTTGTTGCCGTATCAAGAGTTGATCCGGTGCAGCAGAGGACTGCACAAAGGTATGAATAAAAGAACGGCAGGGAGCACTGGGGGCTATTTTGGTGGCTGGCTGCTGCATTTCAGTGTTTTATTCAATTCAACATATTTTTCAAATTTCCTTTTGGAGTTCATCTTTGACTATGGGGCTGTTTTGAAGTGTTTTATTTCCAAGGATTGGGGGTGGTTCCCAGATACTTTTACTCATTATATTGTAATTCTTGTATAGTCATAACACATTTTGTCTGATTTAAATTCTTTGAAATTTGTTGAGGTTTGTTGGGTGGCCTGGACTGTGGTGTGTCTTGGTGAATATACTTTATGCGCAGTTGAAAGAACATTTATTCTGCTGCTGTTGGGTGAAGTGTTAGCAAAGTTTGGTAGTCGGAACAAGTCAGTTAAGAGCATTCAGGTTTTCTATCTCCCTCCTTTTCCCTCCTACTTGTTTTATTGATTACTGAGAGAGCAGTATCGAATTCTCGAACTGAAATATAGATTTTTTTTCTATTTTAGGTTTATTGGTTTTTACTTCATCTATTTTTGAAACTCTGTTATTAGATGTATTCACATTTATAATAGTGAAGTCTTTTTGGTGAACTGAACTTTTTATTGTTATGACTATCCCTCTTCAATCACTGTTAATAGTCTTTTTGAAGTTTATATTTGGTATTAATATTGTCACTCCAGTTTGCTTTGATTACTGTTTGGTATATCTCATTCCATCCATTTACTTTTGTTTTACATTTTCATTTATTGGATTTTTTGAGAGAGAGACAGAGAGACAGAGTGTGAGTGGGGGAAGGGCAGAGAGAAAGGGAGACATAGAATCTGAAGCAGGCTCCAGGCTCCAGGCTCCAAGCTATCAGCACAGAGCCCCATGTGGGGCTTGACCTCATGAACCACGAGCTCATGACCGGAGCCGGAGTGGGATGCTTAACCAAATGAGCCACCCAGGCACCCCTCCAGCCATTTACTTTGAAGGTACATATTTCTTTATAGTTAAATTGGGTTTCTATAGACAGCATATTATTGCCTTTTGCTTTATTTCCAAATCTACTAATCTGTCTTTTAATTTGTTCTTTCATTGACAACGAGATTAAAATCTTACAAATTTGTTTTTATATTTTCCACCCAATTTTTTTCTCATTTTTTCTTTTTCTACCTTACTTTGGATTAATTACATTTCTTTTTTTTAATGTTTATATTTATTTTTGAGACAGAGAGAGACAGGGCATGACCAGGGGAGGGGCAGAGAGAGAGGGAGACACAGAATCCAAAGCAGGCTCCAGGCTCTGAGCCGTCAGCACAGAGCCCGACGCAAGGCTCAAACTCATCAACCGTGAGATTGTGACCTGAGCCGAAGTTGGACGCTTAACCGACTGAGCCACCCAGGCGCCCCTGGATTAATTACATTTCTTCAGGGAAAGACATCAACCTATTGGGTACCAAAAGTAGACAATAAGACTTACTCCATTGGATCGAAACACTACTCATAGCACACCAAGCAACGTGAACAGGAGCACAGCTGTGTGTCTGTGGTTCACTTGGCCTCAGGTCCAGTAACCGAGATAGTGGTCCCAGTGCACAGCACACACGTAGTGGCTTTACACTGTGGCTGGGGAACCAGGCCCAGGACTTCTCCAGCAAGCAGAAGGCAAGCCTGCCTTGGTCTGAGAAAGACATGATCTGGTCTCTCAAGCTCTATTAATAATTAGCAATCGTAAGCAAGGGCGCAGAAGAGAAGTCAGACCCTTGCAATCTTGACATAGTCAACAAGACACGCTGAGCACTAAAAGGGCCAGGAAGAAAGCCTCCCAATATTTTTATCATTTCACTTTATCTCCATTTGGCTTGTTATTTACACTTCTTTAAAAAAAATGTTTAGTGGTTCCCCTTGCATTTACAGTATATGTCTTCAATTAACCAAAGGCAATCTTCAAATGTTATACCATTTCTTACATAGCAAAGGATCCTTCAATAGTATATTTCTAATTACTTATCCCATCATTTTGACTATTGTTATTGTCATAATTTAACTTTCATATAAGCTATATACTCACAACATATTGCTGCTCTTTTAAAAATTGAAGTGTTACATATAGGGGCACCTGGGTGGCTCAGTCAGTTGAGTGTCTGACTCTTGATTTTGGCTCAGGTCATGATCCCAGGGTTGCAGGATGGAGCCCCACAGTCAACTCGGAGCCCGCTTAAGATTCTCTTCTCTCTCTCTCTCTCCCCCCCCCCCACCCCCCCCCCCCCCCCCCCNCTTGTGCTCTAAAATATATTCTTAAAAACGAAGTATAGTGACATAATTTTATATTAATTTCAGGTGTACTACAGAGTCATCTGACAATTATATACATTACAAAATGCTCACCATGGTAAGTGTACTTACCACCTGTCACCACAGTTATTGACTATTCCCTGTGCTGTACTTTGCACCCCCATGACTTCTAAAGCAAAAGAGCAGTGTATTGCCACTCTTTTGCTTTAGATAGTCCCTTGTCTTTTAAGGTGATTAAAAACAGAAAAATGTCTCTTATATTTACCTTTATTCCTGTCCATTTCCAGAGATCTTTACTTGTTTATGTAGACCTTTCTGGAGGCAGAAAGAATAGGATGCCAGAGAGAAACCTGCATCTAATAAGGAAATGAACTCTTCTTACCTGTCAGGATGGAGGCCTCGTCTTCCCCCTGCTTCACAAGCGTGCTGGCGCCTGTGTCCCATTTCTTCTTGGAGGCTCCTGTCCTTCTTTGGAATTCAGGTTAATTGGAATCAGTTGCTCTGCAAACTCAGCTCTCTGATGGGTTTGACAAAAGCTGTAAGTTTATAGACTACCTAACAACTTTTAAAAATTGTGATTAGTGTGGTAATGATGCTCTCTCCAGCTCTCTGCATCCGGGATGGAGCCCAGAGTCTCAGCCATCTACTTTTCCACGACTCCTTTCACCCCCTTTTGCCGTTTGCTCCTGGGTCAGCTGCCTGGCTCCTTCTCTGGGCTGGCCCCTTCCAGCTTAGTCCCCTGAACTCCTCTAGCTTGGATGCTTTCCCCTCCCTACCCCTTCAGGAGGCAACTATCTGGCAAAGAGAAGGGACAGAGGTTCCAGATCTATCACCATCTTGGGGACAGCTCAAAAACAATTCATGGAGTCCTGTTCCCAGGAATAAGCATGGAAAGCGGGGAAGCGGCTTTGGGAGGTGAGCTCTCATCGACCACACTCCAAGTTGGCCTCATTCCTCTGTGCTAGGAAATGGGACCGAGTGTCTACTCTACCCATTAATGAGGAATAAGAATCAAACTGACTGAAACCTTTCTTGGAAGATGAGAACTGCAACAGGACAGAAGGGGAGCAGGCTGGGAGCAGTGCTTACAAGCACAGTCCCTGGAGCAGCCTATCTGGATTTGAAATCCATCATTTATTTGCTGTATGGCCTTGGACAAGTCCCGTCACCTCTCTGTACCTCCGTTTTCATCTGGAAAATGGAGACAATAATAGTACTTACCTCACAATATTGTTAAGAGGATTTGCATATATTATTGTTAATATATGCAAAGCACTTATAAGAGCAACAGATATATAATAAGCTCTGTTACCTATTAGGGTGTATTTTCTACAATTACAGGAATGCATGGAAGAAAGCAGTTTCCTCCCTTTCTCTGAACCCACTACAATCAAAACATCTAATGTTTATTGAGCATCTCCAAAGTGCCCATGTCTGGTACTAAGCACAGTGTATGAATTATCTCATAAGTTGTCGGGATTAATTATTCCTACTTACTAAGCAAGGAAATCAAAGAACAGAGAAATTAAGTGTTTACACAACCAGCTAGATGGAGAGCTCGGTTTGCAACCCAGGAGGGTCTGACTACCACGCCTGTGCTCTTAACCACTTGCTTCCCATAAACTAGTTTCCTTGCTTGTAAAATAGTGGGAAAGCCGCCGGCTGTATTTCTCTCAGGGTTTTGAGATCCCACTAACAAGAGAAGAAGCAGTGCTTTAGGGATTTGCAGAGGGCTGGTCCGCGGACTGGGAAACCTGAATGTGCCATGACTCCATCCCTTTCTTTGCACGTGCCCTTCCCCCTCTTTTCTGCTTGTTGAACTCATTTCTTCAAGATTCAGCTCAGATATCAGCACCTAGGCTTTATTCTAACAATGGAAGGATTTAAGCAGGGGGTGGCACACCCGACGTGGCGTTTCGAAATGATGGCTGACTGCCGGGCCAGGGGGCGGGGATGGAGTGTAGCAGGGCCAGGGCGAGTACAGAAAAACCAGATAGAAGGCTGCTGGAAGAGCCAAGGGAGAGAGATGGTGGCGGAAACGGAGAGGGATGGTGGATTGGAAAGTTATTTAGGAAAGAGAGTCGACAGGAAATGGAGGTGTATTTAGCAAAAGACAGGGAGGTGCCAAGGATGACTCCTAGTTCCTGGCTTGCACGCGAATGTTTGCTGGGTGAATGAACGAATGACCCCACGGCAGAAGCATCCCCGACAGACACCCCGGACCCCGTCCCGTTCCCGCGGCTTCTGGAGCTGCGAGCACAAGGGGTTGGGTGGGAGGGAGGAGGAAGAGAAGGGGCAAAAATCTCAGTCCAGGAGTTAACCAGATTGGACACTTCTGGCGCTAGTCTGAGCAGGAGGCGCGGCGAAGGGGGCAAGCGCTTCTCCTCTCCTCCCGCCGTTTGCGCCTCGCCCCTCCACCCCCGCCAACCCGGACGCGCAGCGCCCCTGTTCGCGCCCTGGAGGACTTGGCTTCTCGCCGGCGTCTCGGGGCGCGGCGCTGTGGCCCACCCCTGCGGCCCTGACCCGCCCCGTCCCGGCGCCCACCCCGCCCAGTGCGCTGGAAGGCTGGGCGGCGGCTCGGTCCGGTCCCGGAGCCAAGACCGGGGCTGCCGGGTGAGTCCCAGGGTCAGGGGGCCCTCCGCCGCGGCGCACCTGCCCTGTGTCTCGGCGGCCGGTCAGTGCCCTCCCGACTCCGCCGGGTCTCCTTCCCCGCGTGCGCCTTCTCTCCCGGGGTGCGGGTGCGTTCCGGCGGGACTGCTCAGGAGTCGCCAGCAGCAAGTGCGCGTGGGCCGAGAACCCGCGCGTGTCCCCGCGGCGGGGCTGCGCCGCCGGGCGCGGCGCAGCAAGTGGATCGGAGCGTGCGGAGCCCAGCGCCCGGGCAGCGGACGGGCTGCGGGGCTGCGGGCGGCGTGCAGACGAACGCGGCGGGCCGCGGGGCAAGGATGCGCGCCGGGAACTTTTCGCCCGGCCTGGAAGTGCGAGCGGCCGCGCCCGAGGGGGCTCCCCGCGGCGGCCGGGAGCGAGGCGTGCGCGGGTGCCCGTCGCCACCCCTCCCCCACTTCCGCCGCCCGCCGCTTCCTCGTTCCCGGCTCCCAGGGCCCGGCCGTCCCGCGGGAGCCCCGGCAGCGCAGCCCCACCCCGGCCGGCGCGCCTCGCTCCCACGCCCCCGCAGCCGTCTCGCCGGAGCCCAGCGACCGAGGCAGCGGGGGCGCGGGGCGCTGCAGGTAGGGGCTCCGCGGCAAGGGGCGCAGAGGCGACGGGCGGGCCGGGGCCGGGGCCCGGCGGCACGAACTGGACGCCCGGGGGCCCTCGGCCGCCTCTCCACCCCACCCCGCCGCGGGCGCGCCCCGGCCCTTTTTAGGGAATTCTCTAGCTCCTGCGGACTCCAGTGCGGTGGGGCGGAGACCGGGACGGCGCTCTGCGTTTCACGGGCACCCCGGGCTCCCCAGACCTGGTCTCCCTTCTCCTGGCACCTTTCGTCTCGTAAACAACTCCTTTTCTTTCCCTGGCTCCGGCTCCGATGCCCCCTGGGGGTAGCCCTTCGGGTCTCGGGAGAAGGATGGGGTGGGGTGGGGGGGAGGGGGAAGGGGGCGCCCCCGCGCCCCCTGTCCGTGGGTACCCCCACCCTCGTTCTCTCCCTCCCCTGTCTCCCCCCGCCCCCCTTCACCCGGCCGCTGGAGCAGACGGCCCCAGGGGCCCCGGGTATTTTTAGCGCGGTGACCTGGGCGGCAGCTCGGAAAGCCTTTCCCAGGAATCGGCGTCAGCGCCTCCCTCCCCCGCTGCCAGCCGGCGGCCACCCGGTCCCCGCACACTGCCTTTGGCCCTGGCTGGCCCACTTGGGTTTGGGCCCCTCGCAGCCCACAGCAGCGCCTGTGGAGCTGGCCAGGGTCTCGGACACGGATTCCAGATGAGTCGAGGGAGGCAGGCTGCAGAGGATGACGAGCTGGTCCTCATGCTCTTGCCTCCGGTGATGGGTGCAGGGAGACGAGCGAATGGGAGTGAATGTGTAGAGCCTGGGCTGGCCCAGAGTTCTGGTGTTCTGGAAAGCCCTCCGCACTGAGGGTCCGGGGGTCCTGAATTGGACCCAGGCCCTGCCCTTCCAATTGCTGCTCTGACTCGTAGGGATGTAAGACTGAGATATATCAGAGGAAAGATGCTCAAATAAACGAGCTGGGGAATGCGGAGAAAAAGATGGGCGACCTCTAAATAGTATAGTGGGGGGGGGGGCTTTGCATTTTACAGGGCACCTGCACCCACGGCCTCTCCTATTTGGGGCAGGTAGGACTATTAGGCCATTTTCAGATGGGGAGACCAAGGCTGGAAAGATGATTTCCTTAGGGGTAGAGCCAAGTCTGGAAATCGGCTCTGTGGCTTCAGAGCAGGGTTTGGAGTGGATGGTTGTGATGGGGTGTATGGGGAGGTGGGGGAGGAGGTGCTTTAGCTTTTGTCTGGGCTTTGAAGCCGGGCATGAACCAGAGTTGCAGCACTAGAGGAAGATGGCTTTCCCCTCTGAGATCCCCAGCCCACCCTTCCCTGGTCTTCTGAGGGGAAGCCGCCTCCATTACCAGTGCACCCCCCCACCCCTGGGCTGGACCAGTCCCTCTCACAAGGGCATGATACTGAGGCTTGGCCACTGGCCCTGTTCCCTGAACACAGAGGAGCTTCTCTTGCCGTGCCTGGAGCCAGCATCCCCTTTGTGGAGCCAGGGTCAGCGCTGTCACTCTAGGGGACTTCAAGTTTGTGGTAACGGACTTTGTTTCGAGGAAGGGAAGGAGGTAGCCAAGTCCGGAGGTGTCCAGACTGTATCCGGAGGCCCCACGGCTGTGATGCCAGCGGCAGCAGAGCTCCCCAAGCCCAGGCCCCCGCTGTATTCCCTCTCAGCTTCATAGCTGTACGTGCTCTTCCACCTTCCAGGAGCTGACATGGACCCGAATCCTCGGGCAGCCCTGGAGCGCCAGCAGCTCCGCCTTCGGGAGCGGCAGAAATTCTTTGAGGACATTTTACAGCCGGAGACAGAGTTTGTCTTCCCCTTGTCCCACCTGCATCTCGAGTCGCAGAGACGTAAGCTCTGAGTCCTGGGGAGAGGGACTGGGGTGGGGGAGGGGAGGCATGTCTTGTAGGTCCTGAATCATGGGAGCCTTGTCCCATTTTGTTGGCCCTCGAAACTTCTGCCTCTAGACCTGACACATTACCTCTGACCAGCCTATGGGCTCTGGCCTGCATCCTTCTGACCTGCCCCCTTCTTGATCTGCAGCCCCCATAGGTAGCATCTCCTCCATGGAAGTGAATGTGGATGCACTGGAACAGGTAGAACTCATTGACCTTGGGGACCAAGATGGAGCAGATGTGTTCTTGCCTTGCGAAGACCCTCCACCAACCCCCCAGACATCTGGTATGCCCCTTGGCTTTGGGGACTGGGGCACCAGTTAGCCAGAACCGGGTGTCAGTCTCTGAAATGAGGATGCAAGTGGGACCGGGGAAGTATACACGGAGGGGCTGGAAGTGGGCGTTTCTACCAACGAAACAGCTGTCTGTTCTGATTTTAGGGAAGTCGACCCTGAGGGGAACTGAGTGACAGAGCCTCAATCTAAAATTCCGGGGCAGGGGCGCCTGAGTGGCTGTCGGTTAAGGCGTCCGACTCTTGATTTCGGCTCAGGTCATGATCTCACAGTTTGTGGGATCAAACGCCGCATTGGGCTGGGCACTATGAGCAAGGAGCCTGCTTGGATCCTCTCTCCTCTCCCCCAGCTCTCACATACGTGCTCGCACTCTCTCTCTCTGTCAAAATAAATAAACAAACATTTAAATGTGTTGGGTGCTACACACTATTTAAAAAATAAATAAATAAAATTATGGGAATGCCCCAATCCCTCCCTTAGCGTTTGTTAATTTTACATTTGTGAAATTAATGTAATTAATTCATGTAATTAAAATAATATAAAATATAATTTTTATATTACACAACTTAAGCTGTTTTAGTCATCTTCCTATGAATATTTATTGAGCACTTTTCTTCAGTTGCTAATTCTGTGCCAAATTAGCTCAATTCTTACAGTATCCTATTAGGGCAGGTGGTATTATCCCGGTTTTATAAAGGAGGAAATTAGACTCAGAACTTGTCACACAGCCAGAAAGTGGAAAAGCTGGGCTCAAACCATGGCTGTCTCATTTCAAAGCCCATGTGTTTAGCTTATAAGATAGATAGTCTCTTTTTTTAAAGTGGGCTTCATGCCTAATGCAGGGCCCAACACGGGGCTTGAACTCATGACTCTGAGGTGGAGACCTGAGCTGAGATCAAGATTCAGACACTTAATGGACTAAGCCACCCAGGCACCCCCAGATATTCTCTTATTTAAAACTGCTGCTATTTACTGATGGCCTACGATGTGCCAGACATTTTATAATAAGGGTTCGATTTCATCGTCAAAACCCTTCTGGAATATAGATGCATATCTATAGATTTTTATAGAGAAGATTCAAGAGTCCTTGAGGGGGAAAATGACTTGCCCAAAGCTACCCAGTATCAAGTAAGGGGCACAGGTGGACCTTGCACGCTTGAATCGCTCAAGCAGACTACAGGGCCCAAACGGGCTGCAGTGACATGAAGCGACCTGGGAGTCAGGACACCTGGCTCTCTGCCGGACCGGCTCAGTTGACTGGTAAGGCGTCTGCCCCTCTCAGGGCTCCACCCCTCCTGGCCCGGGCACCTCTCAGAGTCCCCCGAAGCCCTGTTTGCGGTGCTGACCAAGTCTTCTTTCCGGGCAGGGACGGACAACTGTCCAGAGGAGCTGAGCCTGCCGGTGGCCACGCCAGACAGGACCGCGTCCCGTACCTCCTCCTCGTCTTCCGATGACTCCACCAACCTGCACAGCCCAAATCCCAGTGACGGCGGAGCAGACACGCCCTTGGCACATTCTGATGAGGAAGAGGATGGGGCCGATGCAGGGGCAGAGCCTGGAGCTTGCAGCTAGCAGTGGGCGTCCATCGATAGACTGACCGAGCTGGTTCTTCCCCACAGGGGACGCTAGGCCCAGCCGGAGCCCTGCGGAGGAGACCAGGCTCTACTTGCAGCAGGCAGCAGGGGGAGGCGAGGACGGTGGGATGGTGCGCCTCTCTGGGAATTAACTCTCCTGCTTTATTGCTAACCTTTCCCGCCGCGACCCTCCCACCAGTGTTTGGCTTACTCCCGAGGCAGGGCTTACAGGCGCGCAGACGGAAGATGACGTAGGACAAGATGCCACTGCTTTTCCTAGCGCCCCTCCCTCCCCAGACTGTCCTGCATTCTTCTGATAGACCCCCCGACACCAGTGGCTCTAAGTGCACGTGAACTGCCAGTGCTCCCCGTGCGTGGTACCCCTGCTCCCTCACCTCCTGTTTGGGAACAGGTCACGGTATAGATAATAAACAAATAATAATATACCAACCATCCCCCCTCATTTGTCACACGGCAGACATAGCAAGCCCGCTGTATTTTTTCAGTTCTCTAACCAGCACCGTATCCCCATGTCTCACGTACTCCCTCTCTTCAGGAAATATTTATCGAATACCTATGCCGGGCATTTGGAATACAGTTTTGAACCAGACAGGCTGTACCCCTGCCCTCATGGAGTTCACGGTCTCTGGAGAAGAAAAGTAAATACCACAGTTCACACTGTACTAAGTAGCATGATGAGGAACGAGTCTGGTATCAGAAAATAGCTCCTATGGTCACTGAAGAGCTGATTTTTAAAGCTGAGATCCAGAGGCTGAGTGGGAGTTTGCCAAGTGGGGGCTGTGATCCAGGCAGAAAGAGCAGCTCGAGAAGACCGTACATGGGGAGACACCGCTCCGAGGAACTGAAGCGTTCAGCTTGGCGGAACTGTGGAATTTGAGGATGAGAGGGAGGGAGAGGTAGGACTGACATAGGTTAGTCATGAAATACTTTGAAGCCTGTATCGAGTTTCAATTTGGCTGCTAGGAAAAGATCAGAGACTTAAGATACAATTTTTTTTCCTTCTATAAAAGAAGTCCAAAGCACAGGGCTACATGGCTGCTCCAGAGCTCTTGGGCGCCTGAGTCCTTTTTGGCTCTTTTCTCAGCCACCCCAGCGGCCATGTGGCTGGGATTCTCGTTGATAGCTCACGTCTGAGATGGCTGCTTCAGCGCCAGCCATCACGTCCCTGAAGCTGGCAGAACGACGGAGAGGAAACTGGGGGTGGACAAAGCACAGCCTACCGTCTGTTTCCACTTCAGGGAGCCTTCTTGGGAGTTCTGTCCAGTGGCGTCCGCTTTCATCTCACTGACCAGAGCTTGCTAACGTGAGAAGTGTTTCACTTACAGATATTTTATAGACAGGGACACGACATTATCTACAAGAAAGGAAATTCTGGCCTTTGGAAAGACAGTAACCTTGTCGAGTCCCTGAATTTCCAGTGCATCTGATTTTTGTACTAGCTTGCAAACCTCCCAGAAGCACCATGGCTACTGGAGAGAGAGGCCAGGAGAATCCTTTAGTAGGGGCATGCTGCTGTCTTGTTAAAATCAGGGGTAGGTTACTAAGGAACCGGAAGACAGGCTTTGGATTGGCAACTAGCAATTTACATGTTAGAGGTCACGTTAATGAATTTGAACTTTATGAGCAGTAATGAAGGGTTACAAGTGGTGGAACTTGCTTGTTAAAAAGGTAATTCTGGCTGCAGTGGAGTGAATATATTGGAGGAGAGGCTCAGGGCAGATATCTAACACAATACTCCATGCAAGAGATAATGGTAATAATGATCAGCTCGACTGGGTTGGGGCAAGGTATAAACAAATAAATGACATTTGTTCAGTAAATATTTGTTAAATGTCAATATTTAACATATGTAAGACACTGAGCACAGCTAGGGAATATAACAGTGGCAAAAAAAAAAAAAAAAGAAGAAGAAGAAAAAAGACACAGTGCTGCTTTTATGGGTCCCTAGTCTAGCGGGGCGGGGACCCAAATGTAAAGTTGCAATTATGACCAGTGCTAGGAAGAACTTAGCAGCCTGTCGGGAGCACTCATGGAGCATTTCCCTTGAGGAAGTGGCATCTGAGCTGAGCCCTGAAGGATAAGAAGGAGTCAATTAGGGAGAGTAAGGGGGAGGGGGGGAGGGACAGGCCCCTGTGGAATGCTGACTGGAGGAGTGGATGCCTGCGAACTAGGGGGTGATGGCAGCCAGCTACATTGCAGGCAGTGGACTCGGGTGGAGGTGGACGGGATGTAGAAAGGTGAAGGGAATGAAGAGATGTTTAGGAGACAAGTTCCAAAAGCTTTGACAGGGAGGTGAGAGAGGAAAGGCTCAAGGGCGCCACCATTGTTTCTCCCTCTCCCAACCTGACGATGTAGTGTTGTTACTTCCCCGGATGGGGAGTGTCCGAGAGAACCAGGTTCGGGAAGAAGGTCATAAAATTGGTTTTGGACATGTTGAGTTTGAGGTGCTTTTGAGACTTGCAAGAGGTCATGTTGGGTAGGCACTCAGCCCCAAGTGTGGGGTTTGGAGAGGATTAGGCTGGGAAAATAAGTAGACGGGGCTACCGGTGTGTGGGTGCTATGTGTGTCCAGGGAGGGATGGGGAATGGAAGGAGAAAGGAGAGTTCTAGCACCCAGCCATAAGGGGCATCAAGTCATTTCCCACATCAGAAAAAGATAAGATAAAATAAAGCATTCACCTCCTTTCATACATCAAACACCACCCCTGGGATCAGTGACCTTGAGCCCAAATCCCAAAGCTCTCTATGCCACCCAGGCTGAGTGAGTGACAGGCCTGCAGCCTTCCAGTCATCCCAGCCTGCTTCCACCCCTGCAGGAGGCCACAGTAAGTGACAGCTCTTAAGTGCTTTTCCTAGCACTGGTGAGAAACTTGTGGGAGTTTTGCACTCCTTTTGTCTAAAAGCCTCTGTGTCCAAGTTGAGATCATTAAACTGTGCAGGGACTCAGTCTCCTGGTAAATTTCGCAGTTTTTCTGGGTTCCTTAGGACTTTGCTGCACACAAAAGACACGGTCTCTGTCTTTGTGCCCTCTCCCTTCCTCTGGAGTAGCGAAGTTCACCGCCTGACTGTGGCTGAGCCTTCTGGGCTGTAGCCGGTGAGCTCCGTGGCTCTGCTCTGCAGGGCTTCTCGGCTCCCAGGGTCATCCTCCTCCCCTCCGAGGCAAATGAAGGGAAGCCAGACTTGCTTGGTTGCTGTCAGTATGTCAACAAATCTCTTAGTACTCCAGGCACGGGATGCTAAGATCTGTGGGGCTTAAGGCAGGGAGTCTGCCTGGGGAGAGGGGCCTCCAGCCTTCTGTAGAGAGAGAATTGTTTGCGAGCCTATGGGGAGCCTTCAGTTCAGCTGCTATGAGCCTGAGCTGAGCCGTGCCTGGAAAAGTCTAGGGTCAGCTGAGACCCCAGGACCACTTCCTCCTTGGACAATGATCTGTTCTTCTGCCAAACCACAGGGTCTTGGCTAGCCTTGAGAGCCGGCATCTCCAGCTGACTGGTTTTTTGAGGCCACACAGTGCCCCTGGAGAGGAAAGGGTGATTCGGAGCCAACTCTGAGGCAAGCAGCCCAGCCTTCAGTCTCCAAGCCACAGTGTGGCTTCTTCTGTCTATTGCCTAGACTGGTCACAGAGTCTGGGGGGGAGGGGAAGAAGACAGGCTCATCCTGTAGAACCCTATGCTGTGGAGGAAATAGGAGGGACCACAGCTTCGGGGAAGATTCCCTGGAAGGTGTACACTGTAGCAGTCCCTAGGAAGGGACAGAACTTGACACTGTACAGCACGGCAGTATGGGGACATTATGGGATTGTGCTATGAGTTTTGTTTGTTCAGACATTATTGAGCACCTACTGTGTGCTAGCCTCCTTGATTAGGAAACGAATACTAAGGTGACCAAGAGCTCTTCCAGGAGCAGATATGACCGTACACAATGGAAATATGAAACAGGCTGTAGCAGAAGTGCCCAGAGGACTGAAGCACACCAGAGAGGGGCAAATAAGTCTCCTGGAGGTGGCTGGGTCTTTTATGATGCGGACAGGCAATTTTAAGTGGAGACAAAGCATAGACATGTAAAATAATCACAACATGGCAGCTACTCTTTTTTTTTTTTTGAGGTTGATGGTATGGACTCTAGTCCTGGCTTCATGACTCAGTGTGATGTTAGGCAATTATCTCAGTTCCTGTACCTCAGTTTTCTCTTCTGTAAAATGGAGACCACAGACCCTATATCAAAGGTTGTTTTAGTAAAAGATAGTAAATATTAAGCACTTACTACATTCTAGACCCTACACACACATAATTTCTAATTCTTACAGCAACGCTGAGAATAGGTTTATCCATTTTACAGAATGGATAGTGAAAAGAAAAGTGACACTGAGGTCGCTCATGCTCATATGGGTTAAAAGCTGGTGTGGGGATTTGAACCCATCTCTGTCTGGCATCTAAACTCATGGTCCTTCTATTCCATGTCTAGTGGGAGAAGAACACTAGATGTAAGCAGAATGAGGGCATAATGACACTTTTTTTTAAAATTTTTTTTTAATGTTTTATTTATTTCTAGGAGAGAGAGAGAGACAGCGTGAGCAGGGGAGGGTCAGAGAGAGAGGGAGTCATAGACTGAAACAGGCTCCAGGCTCAGAGCTGGCAGTCAGCACAGAGCCCGACGCGGGGCTCGAACCCACGAACCGCGAGATCATGACCTAAGCGAAAGTCAGACGCTTAACCGACTAAGCCACCCAGGCGCCCCCATAATGACACTTTTTGACACGTCCTCTCTGGTTGGTTGTGGTATATCTTGGCAGACCTGTCCAACACCCAGTTTGGCTCTTCGTAGAAGTATGGTTATGAGTTTCCCCAATCGACTGTGAGCAAAATCTTTCATGAATGTGTTTCTCATAGGGCAACTGGAAACACCAAAGCATGAATTTTCACACTGGAACTTTACAACGCAATAATAAAAAGGCAAATAAGCCAATAGAAGAGAGGGGACGAGGGGGGGCAAAAATATTTTAACAGACTTTTCACAAAAGAAAACAGATGTATGGCCAATAAGCATATGAAAAGATGCTCGGCATCATTATGTACCAGGGAAATGCAAAATAAACCCACAATAAGATAGACATATACCATATAGCTAAAGCGAAAAAGTTCAAAAAACTAAAAACAAACATTGGGCAGGATATGGAGCAACCAGAACTCTCACATATTATTGGTGCAAGTATGAAATGTAACATTTTGTTAAAAGCTCTGGCAGTTTCTTAAACAGTTAAATATTTACCTATTCTTTGAGCACTCCTAAGTATTTAAGCAAAGGAAATAAACACATGTCTACAGAGTAATTTATACAGCAACCTAGTTCATAATAACTAAAGTCTTGAAAGAGCTCAGGTGTTCATCATCAGGGTAAAGGAAGGTGTATTCATATAATCTAATACTATGTAGCAATAAAAAGAATCTGCTGATACACGCAAGAACTTGGATGGTTCTCAGAAACATTCTTCCTGTGAAAGAAGTCTTACACGAGAAAATATGTGTACTATATGATGGGTTCACTTATAAGCTGGTAGAACAGATTAAGCTATTTTGTGGAGAAAAATCAAAACAGTGGTTGCCTCTGGAAGGTAGGAGGGGACAGGGATTGACTGGCAAGGGGCATTACCCAACTTTCTGGGGTTTTAGGAATGTTCTGTATCTTGATAGGTGTATGCTCTTGTCAGACTCAGTGAATGTGCACTTGGATTGTGCATTTCATTGTATGTAAATTTTACACCAAATGAAACATGACAACAAATGTTAACCTTTATTTACTGACATGCATGCAGAAATATTTAGGGGGCAAGTGTAATTATGTCTGCAATTTACCTTGAAATGTACCAAAACATAAGAACTGAGGAATTTATAGACCAATATGTGATAAAGCAAGGAGAGTAAAATGTCAATGCTGGACTCTAGGTGATGGGGAAATACATGTTCATTAACAGGCGTTCATTTTTTCGATTTTGCTCTATGTTTAACGTTTATCATAATAAGGGGGACAGTCATTCGGGGGTTTTACATGAAAGCTCGGCATCAGGCTTAGGATTGAGCAAATGGAGGCACCAGAAGCACGAGCCCTGCCATGTGACCTAGCAAGAGTAACCTTTTCAGTCTGTGTCCTCAACTATCACATAGGCACTGCGGCAGTGGCGGCACTCGGTATTATTAAGCAAATTCTAATGGGTAAGAATATCGCAAAGTAGGGGATCATCCATTCAGACCCCCCACCCCCACCCCCGTCAGGCCAAATGCCCGTGGCCCTTAGAGCCCTACCGCGCGCCCTTAGACACACCAGCCACGAAGGACCTAGCTAGGCCGTCTCTCTGGTAATTTCACCCCGGTTTCCGGGACGGCACCGGAAGTCACTTCTCATACGCTCTTCCTATTGGAGGCCGGCCGCTCGTGGGGGCGGGCACCGCTGGGAGGCGGAAGCAGCCGCAGGCATGGCGGCGGCCTTGCCGCTGGTCCTGTTTGTCCTGCTGCTCCTGGGAACGGTGGGCAGGAGCCATGCGGAGCCCCCACGCGACAGCCTGCGGGAGGAGCTCGTTATCACCCCGCTGCCTTCTGGGGACGTAGCCGCCACGTTCCAGTTCCGCACGCGCTGGGATTCGGAGCTGCAGCGGGAAGAAGGTAAGAGGGTGAGACTGGAAAGGTATCTGTGGCACCTGCTGGGAAGGTGGGTAGAGGCAAGCTTTGGGGGCGGGGCTTAGAACCTGGGAGGGGTTTCTGGGCCCTGGACTTGGGGTTCCACAAACTAGCTCTTTGGGGGAAGGTGGGAGAGTTATAGAAGAACCCCATTTTACCGGTGGTGAAACTGAGGCCTGGAGAGGGGCAGTGACTCCTCCTGACTCCTAGTCCAGGTGCTCTTGACGCCGGTCCAGGCTGCCACTCCAACCCTTTAGTTAGAACCCTACGTCGACAACACTGGCGATGATGTTATTGGCCGTTACCTATTTGTCCTCGGTGCTAGGCACAGTGCTAAGTTCTGTGAGCGATTGTGAGGAACTTGTTGGAGATGTAGAGGTAAAGTCACTTGGTCAAGATCACATTACTAGTAAATGACACTTGGGTCTGGCATTCAGATCTCTGGCCCCAGAGCCTGGGGTCTGTTCTTTGGGGTGGCTGAGAACCTGTGCTGCAGGATGGTCACTCACCTTGCTCCCCCTTTCCAGTGTCTCATTATAGGTTATTTCCCAAGGCCCTGGGGCAGCTGATCTCCAAATATTCTCTACGAGAGCTGCACTTGTCATTCACGCAAGGCTTTTGGAGGACTCGATACTGGGGGCCACCTTTCCTGCAAGCGCCATCAGGTGCAGAGCTCTGGGTCTGGTTCCAAGACACTGTCACTGAGTGAGTGCCCACCTTGAGGCCTGTTGCAGGCCATAGAGGGGATGTGGCAGCCGCGGGTGTTGTCATCCTGACACTGCTCTTGGGGACAGCAGTTCCGTGGGGGGTGAAGCTGGCATTGGAAGTAAGAAATGATATTACCACCGAGTGGCATTCTTCACTTTGGTATTTTCTTACTTCCCCTAATATTCCCACGAGGTAGCACATTCATGTATCTACAGAGGCAGGTAACAAAGAATCGAAGCTTACTTGGATGTAAGGCAGTAGAAGACTGTGGCAAACTGGATAACCTTTTACTTATTTATTTTTTTAATGTTTATTTTTGAGAGAGAGAGAGAAGAGAACAGGGGAGGGACAGAGAGAGACACACACAGAGTCTGAAATGGGCTTCAGGGCCCAACGCAGGGCTCGAACTCTGAATGGCGAAATAATGACCTGAGCCAAAGTCGGACGCTTAACCGACTGAGCCACCCAGGTGCCCCAAACTGAATAACCTTTTAAAAGACATTCACTATCATCGTCGTCGTCATCATCATCATCATCATCATCATCCCAGGAGGGCGAAACAAAACATTTGTGCGGGCTAGAACTGGCCTACGAGATCCCAGATCTTGGTGTTAGAGGAGCCGCTTCTGTTTGGGAGAGGGACAGGTCTAAGGTTTAGGGAGTGCTGACTATTTCCTCTTAATCCCACTGTGAGAAATCAACACAAGTAGGATTTTAAAAAGTGGGGGGATCATAGAGCGGGGTGGGGACTGCGGCTAGAGGGCTTGAGAGGCCAGCTGCCATTCCACCCCAGTAGATTGTTGCCACGGGGGAACATTGTTGCCCGCTGTCGCTAGAGATTCTTATTTTCCAGGGATGCCAGAAACCTGGATTTTAGTGTGAAAATTGGCAAACTTAAATATCAGTAATTTCAAAATTTAAGAAATGCTACCTGGGCCAGCGTGCACACCAAATGAAACATGACCATGGCTTGGATAGAGCTTTCCGGCTTCTAAGTTTGCAATCTTTACTTGAGGCTTAAGAACTGGAGTGATTGAGGGGCACCTGGGTGGCTCAGTTGGTTAAGCGTCCAACTTCGGCTCAGGTCATGATCTCACAGTTCGTGGGTTTGAGCCCCGTGTCGGGCTCTGTGCTGACAGCCAGCTCAGAGCCTGGAGCCTGCTTCAGATTCTGTATCCCCTCTCTCTCTGACCCTCCTCGGCTCACGCTGTCTCTCTCTCTCAGAAATAAATAAAACAGTAAAAAAAAAAAATTGGAGTGATTGAAAAGCTCCGAGCAGAGGATTGTTGAAAAGCCCACACCATGGTAGTAGCAGATAAGGAGCAAGCAGTGGCTCCCAGGTCTGCCAAGCCTTTCTCGTTTGCCTGAACACTGGCTCCTCTGCCTGTTGTCCCGTCTGCTTTGCTGTCACCGTCTCCCCTCAGCTTATTATTGCCTATAATGTTGAGCCGATGGTGAGAATTTTTGCTTTATGCGTTCTGTTGTGAACACAGACAGCAAGTCTGTTGTGATATTTCTCTTTCTAATTTAACTTAATGTTTTCGTAGGGGCCTAGAATGGTTGTTTCCCCTCATTCAATGAGCCTGTATAGCTTAAGACTTCCCACTCCGAGGGTGGAACCAGGACTTACTTTCCTGCCCAGGGCGTTCACAGGGAAATATGCAGTTTCGCCCAGCTGGGCACACCTCCGTTGGTTCAGTGGGGTGACCTCAGCCCCTGCGGATGTGGGGCAACACAGGAAGAGGCTATGGTTGGGGAGAGCAGGAGAGCCTTCCTGGAGGAGGGGGCTTCCTTGAAGGTGGGCAGAGAGGGGTGAGTAGGGCATTCCCAGGCAGGAGGAGGAGTCACCTGAACAGAGACCTGTGGGGATGCAGGGATGTCCAGAGTGAGGAAGGAGAGGTGGGTAGCGCGAGACCCAGGAGGTGGCTGAGCAGGGCCGCGGGGCCGTGGCAGCTCCGCCAGCTAGTCAGTCTAATGGTTGGGCAGCCAAGCGCAGGCTTGCAGGGAAGGAGCAGAGGCAGTCCTGTGACGGGAGGTGGCTTTGTGTCTCCATCCAGCGTGGATACATCCTGGAAGGAGCTCAGTAACGTGCTCTCAGGCATCTTCTGCGCCTCCCTGAACTTCATTGACTCCACCAACACGGTCACGCCCACTGCCTCCTTCAAACCCCTGGGGCTGGCCAATGGTGAGCTAGCCCTGAGCCCCTTTCCTTCTTTCTGTTACCTCTTGCCTGAGCCTCTGCGTCCTCTCTCAGCTCCCACCTTTCTCAGCTGGGCCGGGTCATAAGTCCCCTGGGTGCTCAGGCCCTGGAGGAAGGCTTCCTGGGACCGTGTGGTCTCTGCCTTGCCTTCTCCTTCCAAGGAGAGGAGGGGGCCCCTCCCCAGTGGGGACTTTTGGGGCGGCGGTGCTGGAGACTTGCATGGCAAGCAGGAGGGGGCCAACTTTGGAGTATGGGTCCTGAAGAGTTGGGCCCCAGAGCCCACACCAGACAGCTTGAGTCTCCCTCAGGCACCGATCATGATTTCCTGCGCTACTCTGTGCTGCCGCGAGAGGTTGTCTGCACTGAGAACCTCACCCCATGGAAGAAGCTCTTGCCCTGCAGCTCCAAGGTGAGGCCGGAGCGTCCCGAATGTGCATGGGAGCCCTGGAGAGCGCGCCCCTTCACTGCCTGCCCCCCAGGCTGTGTTAGGTGCAGATATCCCACTGTGCAGGGTGCTGACCTGTCCCCTCTTCCCGCTTCCTCCAGGCAGGCCTGTCCGTGCTGCTCAAGGCCGATCGCTTGTTCCACACTAGCTACCACTCCCAGGCAGTGCATATCCGTCCTGTTTGCGGGGTAAGTCACGGGGAGTGGGGGTGGGGGTGCCATCCAGGGGCCCCGAGGGAACGTGCAGGTAAAGCCCGGAGCCTAGCGCCTGTCTCAGCCTGAGCCAGTAGTAAGCCTTAGGCGTGATGATGATGATTTGGGGCATTGGCCACACACCAAGGAAACCGAGTGGCTGCCTGGCAAGTGTCCAGTATGTCTTGGTCACAGAGCACAGTGGTTGAGAACAATAGCTGTGTGTGCAACTGCCAGCTCAGCCACTCTGGGCATGACCCTGAGCAAATCATTTTGTTCCCCTGAGCCCGGTTTCCTCCTCCGTCGAAGGAGAATAATAGTAGTATCAGTTCCTACAGGTGTCGGTGGCGGTTCCCCCGACTGGTACAGAATGCCGCTGGCACAGGGTCAAGTGCTCAGTAGCGAACAGTAGGAAACTGATGGGTGGGAAGATACGTGCTAGACAAGGAATTGGATCCGGGTAGGAGTCCCCAAGGCTGCGCGTGTGTGGCCGGGGGCGGGGAGTGATGCGTCCTCACTGCCGCCGTCTGGCCCTTGTGGTAGAATGCACGCTGCACCAGCATCTCCTGGGAGCTGAGGCAGACCCTCTCTGTTGTGTTTGATGCCTTCATCACAGGACAGGGGAAGAAAGGTAAGCTGCATCATTACCATTGCCATTATCATTATCGCTCCCCACCGGCACTGGTCCTGCGCCTCGTCTGGCCACACGAGGCCTTCCCCCAACCCCTGCTCAACCCTGCCCTCTGCTCCTCAGACTGGTCCCTCTTTCGGATGTTCTCCCGAACCCTGACGGAGCCCTGCCCCCTGGCTTCAGAGAGCCGAGTCTACGTGGACATCACCGGCTACAACCAGGTACCAGTGTCTGCAGTCACACCCGCCCCCCTCTGCCCAAGGCCGGCCTGCGCCTCTGCTCTCTTCTCAGCCCTGCCCCTGTGCCCCCAGGATAATGAGACATTGGAGGTGAACCCGCCCCCACCCACCACCTACCAGGACGTCGTCTTAGGTGCCCGGAAGACCTATGCCGTCTATGACTTGCTGGACACGGCTGTGATCAACAACTCCCGTAACCTCAACCTCCAGCTCAAGTGGAAGAGCCCCCCAGAGAGCGGTGGGTGCGGACGGGCTGCCAGGCACAGTGGGCTGCAGAGATTTCCCCTTGGGGAAGACTCCAGTCCTTCCTTTCACCGTGGATACAAGGCTTGTGTTTAGACCCAGGTCCCAAGTCGCTGTTCTTTTTTTTTTTTTTTAATGTTTATTTATTTTTGAGAGAGGGAGAGAGAGGAAGTGCAAGTGGGGGAGGGGCAGAGAGAGAGAGGGAGACACAGAATCCAAATCAGGCTCCAGGCTCCGAGCTGTCAGCACAGAGCCCAATGCAGGGCTCGAACTCATGAACTACGAGATCATGACCTGAGCCGAAGTCAGACGCTTAACCGACTGAGCCACCCAGAAGCCCCTCAGGTCGCTGTTCTGATTTAACTCCATCTTCTAAGCTCTGTGACCTTGGGCAGGTTCCTAAACTTAGCTGCCTCATCTGGAAAATGGGGACATAATTAATAACAGAGCAGAGTAGATGACATAATTAATGTAAAACACAGTTCGTCCATTCAGTCAGCAAATGTTTTCTGGAGACCTAAGACACCCTGCATTTGAGGAACATTATGTCTGTTGATTGAGGCAGACCTGAAACAGTTAATTACTTGTGGTTGCATTCAGTGTTACCAAGGAAACGGACAGACTGTCACAAGGGCAGCTGGTTTGGGTTGGAAGGGGCACAAAGCTCGGCACCTATAAGTACCTAGAGTAATGCTGACATGCTGTGGGCTGGGGAAGACGGGGATGATTCTGGAATGCAGGTTTCCCGGTTCTGATGGAAGAGCTCTTCCCTGCTGCCACCTGGCTTCGAGACCGAACGAGGCCAGGGGAGCGGGCGTGAGGAGTGACCGTTGCCTTCACAAGCCCTTAACCGTGGACTCCCCTGTGCAGAGGCCCCTCCAGTGCCCTTCCTGCACGCGCAGCGCTACGTGAGCGGCTACGGGCTGCAGAACGGGGAGCTGAACACGCTCCTGTACAACACGCACCCGTACCGGGCCTTCCCCGTGCTGCTGCTGGACACCGTGCCCTGGTACCTGCGGCTGTACATGCACACCCTCACCATCACCTCCAAGGGCAAGGACAACAAACCAAGTGAGAGCTGAGTCCCGGACCGGGCCCCCCGCCACTCCCTCGGCCCCTGCTTGCTCCCCCCCGGGTTCCCCCAAACCGTCATTTCTCCAGGTCATTCCTCAAATGTCTCGTAAACACTGCACTGGCACAGTTTGGAAGAGTGTGGAACGTGGAAAGGGTCGCCTCGCCGGGCCAGATACGGAAGTAATTTATGCCATAGAAATAATCCCAGCACGCCGTACTGCTGATTCTCAACAGGGCTTCCCAAGGGCAGCCGTTTCCTCATCTTTGGCACTTACTTGCCCCTCCTCCCTTGGTGCCCTGGGCACGTCCTTTTGTGCTGATTCACAGGCTTGCGGCAGAGGACGGGTTAGCAGCAGGAGAAACTGCGTAGGAAACAAAAAAAGATGAAGCTAGAAGAGACGGGTTTTGCCTCCCTGGGAGGGGTGAAGAAGTGTAGTTTCAAAAACGTATTTATATTTCCCATTTCGAAGAGGAGTTCCTATTTGCTGCGCGCTTTCCGCTAGGTGGCAGGCATAGCACCGAGTGGCGGGGACACCTACCACACAGGACTCAGGCACGTCCCCAGCGCCCGCGCTTAACGTCCCCGAGCCCCTCTCGTTGCCCACGGCTTTCAGCCTGGGGTGGTTTTACTTCTCTTTCACATCACCATATATACCACCTTCAGAATCTCTTCTTCAAACATCCCACCTCTGTGTTTTGTAGGCTTTTCTGTTTTGTTTCTTAACCTTTTGCTCTGGAAAGCATCAAACGCACACGCAGATGGAGCAGCGAGCGTGACGCGTGCCTGTCACATAGCGCCCGTGGCCTCCAGATCCCCTTGCTTGTGATCTCCGCCCTTACTTCGTTTCTTGGTTTTGTTACATTTATGCTGGAGTATCTTAAAACAGATCCTAGACACCGCATCCACCTCTAAGTGCTTCAGTATACATCTGTAACAGGGAAAGGGCTTCTAGAAAATACCACCTATCCTTGGCACTCCTGTTTCCCCCAGTGGTCTTAAAAATAACACTTTTAAAATTGATTTATTTGGGTTAGAATCTAAACGGGGTCCTCACATTGCATTTGCTTGATACGCTCTCGTTTCTCTCTCTCTTTTTAATTAATAGATTTCCTTTTCTTAGAGCAGTTTTAGGTTGAGAGAAAAACTGAGCAGAAAGCACAGAGTTCCCGTGTGCTCCCTCTCCTCCCGCCCTCAGTTTCCCCATTATTAACGTTTTGCATTGCAGTGTTTGCTCTTAAGTCTCTCTTAATCTATGACAGTTCCCACTTTTCTTCCCTAACTCTCTTTGTTGGAGAAATTTGGTCATTTGTTGTATGGAATGTTCTACATCCTCAGTCTGTCTTTGTGCCTGTGTTTAACATGTTCCTCCCTCCCTTATGTTTCTTGCGTGCTGGTGGTTAGATACAGACCCTTGATTAGATTCAGGTTCCACATTTTGGCCAAGACACTTGCGGTTCTGTGAAATTCCTGCTGCATCATCGCATCAGGCATCTGGTGCTTGGTGCCCCGGTTTTGGTCTGGCGCCCCGGTTTTGGTGACGTGAGGATTGACTCGATGGAACAGCGGCCAGTGGGACAGCGGCCCTGGAAACATCTTTTCCCTTTTCTAGGACCCCGCTACCCTCGCTGAGCCTGCCTGGCTTCCGCGATCCAGAGCCTAAGGCCTTGATAGGTAGGGACAAGGGTGCAGGTAGTCCGACCCCAGGAGACAAGTGTGGATGACCCTTGCCTGTCCCCAGGTTACGTCCACTACCAGCCCGCGCAGGACCGGCTGCAGCCACACCTCCTGGAGATGCTGATTCAGCTGCCGGCCAACTCGGCCACCAAAGTCTCCATTCAGTTTGAGCGGGCGCTGCTCAAGTGGACAGAGTATACCCCGGACCCCAACCACGGCTTCTACGTCAGGTGGGCTCCCCCCCCAATACCCCCCCGCAGCCTCCTGGCCCCCCGCTGTGCTGCTCTCCCGCGGTGGGGGGGACACGCACACAGAATGCCTCTCTGCGTCTCCACAGCCCATCTGTCATCAGTGCCCTCGTGCCCAGCACGGTGGCAGCCAAGCCCGTGGACTGGGAAGAGAGCCCCCTGTTCAAGTCCCTGTAAGTATGACCTCAGCCGCCTGCTTCGGGGCGGGCGTCCGCCTGGGCCATTGGGTTCCTGCCGGCCCGCCCGGGGCTGCTGTTGTCTCTTCCAAAGCGACGTGCAGAGTTAAGTCCGTCCCAGTAAAACTCCTGGCGGCCTTTAATATTTGTTCTGATTCCGTGAAACGATTCTGAAGTGCTTCCAGAAGAGGAACTAGGTGAGGAGAGCTGTGGTTCTAGCCTGTGCTTCTCACAGATTCTCTTGACGACTATTTCCCGAGTGCCCATCAGGTGCCAGTGCTTCAGAGAGCACCGGGCACACGTGCCCCTGCCCTGCTCCTGGCGACAGGCTCGGGGGAGACTCTGGTCTAGAGTAATGGGGTCGGGGGTCGTGCTCGGGGGCACTCTAGTGGGTTATCCAGGAGGGCTTCTCTGAGGAGTCAGCCTCGAGGCTGAGGAAGAGGCAGCCCAGGGCAGGCTGGGCCACTTTCCTCACCTCAGCACAGGGCCGCTCTCCTTCGATCAGGCTTCCGTGCTGCCTTACGTGTTTCTCTGTTGACCCGAGATGTCTTCTGTCCCAAAGGCTTTGAGGCGAAGAAAGCTTTGCAAACCCTGCCCGCTGCGCGTGGGCCCAGTGCAACCAAGGGTGGGGGTGGGGTGGGACGGGGTGGAGCAGCCTCAGCCTGCCTCAGCCCTCCTTCCTGACCCCCAGGTACCCGGTGTCCGATAGCTCTAGCTACTTTGTGCGCCTCTACACGGAGCCGCTGCTGGTGAGCCTGCCCACGCCGGACTTCAGCATGCCCTACAACGTCATCTGCCTCACGTGCACCGTGGTGGCTGTGTGCTACGGCTCCTTCTACAACCTCCTCACCCGAACCTTCCACATCGAGGAGCCCAGCACGGGCGGCCTGGCCAAGCGGCTGGCTAACCTTATCCGGCGTGCCCGGGGCGTGCCGCCGCTCTGAGATTTGCCCTCCTCACGGTGGGGCTGCTGCTAATCGCCGGGGAGCCGCGAGTTCTCTCCAGAGTTGGCTCGGGATGAGGCCAGGCCCTGGAGTGCCCTCTCCAGTTCAGTAGCCGTGAGCCAGATGCAACATTTGAATTTAAATTAATTTAAATGAAAAACTCATTCTCTCCGCTGTACCGGCCACGTTTCCGGTGCTCAGTAGCCAGAAGTGGTTAGTGGCTCCTGTATTGGAGAGTGTGGACAAACATTTCAGCCACTGCAGAAAGTTCTGGGACAGTACTGACCTAGATAACGGGGCATGCTGAGGAACTCCTTTCGCTGTGTGGTAGCTGGAATTAACTGGTTGTGGAATAAAAAGTGGCTTTCCTAGTTCTTGGCCTCCTGTTCTTGAGGCTCAGGAAGAGGGGTCTAGGGCCTTTTGCTGGGCACCTGCATCAGACTTCCTACCCTGCCCCCCAAAACTCCAACAAACAAAGCTCCTCCACCTCCTGCTGAAAATTCCTTCTTTTGATTCCTTACTGCCCTCCTCTGTGATTCCCAGAACTCCCTGGGTTTGGCTGGGAGTGTTGATATAAGCACGACCATGACCGTGAATCATCCTCTGCCTTCCAGGGGCCCCCGAGACCCAGTCCCCTGTCACCGGGGGTAGGGCTGGAGAGGTGCGGGTGCTCTGTGTGTTGGTTTTCCAACCGTGTTGTGCATTGGGATCACTTGAGATGCTTGTGAAAATAGTGCAGACTCCTGGGGTCCAGATCCTGTGAAGTCAGTGGGTCTGAGTGTAGCCCAGCCTTTGCATTTCTGTCGGGCGCTTCACGAGCGTGTGTCGTGGGTGGTCCTTAGGCCTCCCACGGGCTTTGGAGTCAGGCCCACTGGATCCAGAGGCCTGCCCCTGCCCACCTCCCCTTCTGGTTCCATAACCCTGGGTTCCTGTAGCAGATCCTTAGGCAGATTCGCCCTCTGTCCCCTTCCCCCCCTCTTCTGTCTCTCCCTCCGGCAACTTGGCATTAGTTGTGTCGGTATTTGCAGTCAGCCTGTTCCTTCCCCGGCTCTCTCATCATAGTGTTTGGCTTAGAATGCCCTGTTCCCCCAACCACACATGCTCCTCTACTGCCTGGTTCACTCTTAACAAAACCAGAGGAGATGTGCTTCCTCCAGGAAGTCTTCCCTGGTAGACCAGGCTGCTGTAGGTGCCCCCTTCCCTCTGCTCCCAGAGCTCCTTGGACTTAACTTTGGCAGGTTCCTTATCATCCCGGTTGTTCTTTTTCTTTGACTTCCATTAAACTGTAAGTTTCCTGAAGGCACAGGGACTGTCTTCCATCTGGACCTGATCCAACTCAGGATAGGAAAGTACTCAGTCAGCATGTATGAATGAATTGGTGCAGGCTATTCTGGCCGGGGATCTGGGGTTCAAGGGTAGGGGTGGGAAGGGCAAGGGGCACCCAGAAACCCCACAAGTATGAGTGCTGAGTCTTTAGCACAATGGTACTGGTGATGTCTGTACAGCCAACATAGATGGGGCTGTTTAGGTTGCTTCTGAGGGTTTCCCAGGAGCCTCCAGAATGTACGAGTGATGTATGTGCAGGTGTGTGCGTGTGTGCATGTGTGTGTAGGAAGGTGATGAGCTAATTAAGACCATGGGCAGAAGCACCTTGTTCAAGATGCTTTCCCTTGAGTTTTTCTTCCAAGCAGTAAATAAAGCGGGGTGTGAATGCAGTGGGTGGGTGTCCAAAGCTGGTGTCCTGGCTGCAGGGAGCCAGCTGCTGGCCACGTCAGCAGGGAGTTGTGGCCTGGCTGTCTTTGCACCCCTAGCCGGGTCAGCACTTGGAACCACCTCCACGACCATGTCCTACGTAATCCGTGCACGGAGGACACCCTGCTCCTCCCTGAACTCCAGATCCACTTCCCCGACGGCCTCCCCGCCGTCTGTGCTTAAGACGTCCAAGGGCATCTCAGATTTAGTATCTCCCAAGCCAAGCTTCCGATCCTCCGGCCCACTACCCCCAACATGCGCATCCAAGGTCAGCTCATCTCTGTTAACGGCACCTCTCATGTTCCCGGTTGCCCAGGCCAAAAACCTTGGAGGCTCCTAGATTCTTCCCTCACGAGTCATGTGTGCCCAGTGAACAACTCTACTCTACCTTCAGAGTGAATCCAGAAGCCAGCTCCCTTTTCACCACCCCCACTAGGGCACTGTGGTGATGGCTAACTGGCCATGCCTATCTATCTAAAGCGCTGCCCCAGCTACCCCCTCCCCGCTTTGCTGTTGTGTTTTCCTCTGTGGCTCTCACCGCCATCAACGTGCAACGTGTCTTACTTATCTTGTTTCTTAGTAATTAAGCTCCATAAGGACAAAGGTTTTGTCTCATAGCTGCAGTGTCTGGAACAGCCTGGCATGCGATTTGCATTCCAAGAATTGCTGAATGAATGAACAAATGTATGAATCTCGTGGTAATTTTGCTGCTAAGCAAGCCAGGTCCCCCAAACATCTGGGTTCTGAACCGTGAAATTCTTGCTGTGCCGGCACCAGGACAGTCTTCCCTTACCCGTGCACTCAGGGCCTGGGCATTTCCAGGTACACACTTCAGGGGTTCTCAAGTGTACGCCTGGCCATGGCCTTCTCCAAGAGGGTTGGCACGAGGCAGTGGCATCTGGCGGGAAGGGCCAGAGGTGCTCAAGGCCAGGTCAGTCGGGGCCCCCGGGCAGTGTGAGGTGTGTTTCCCCTCACACGGCTGGGGCTGTGTGGTGGAGCTGCCCTGGGGATCTCTCTGGGGAGTAGAGAGAAGGGAACCCGTGTCCTCTGAGGGCTCCCCTGGGTAAAGTGCAGTGAGTAAGTAGATGAAGGAGATTTGCAGAAGCAGAAGTGCTAGCAGAACTAGTCTCCTTCCCAGTCTTCCTTCAACACCAGGGACAGACCAACTGTTACTGTTATTCACAGACACCCAGTCCCTGCCCGCCTATCAGGCACTTCCAGCAGGGATCGTCCTCTCTGAAGAAGGCTGGGAGACAGAGCTGTCTTGAGGGTCAGGCAAGCTTGGCAACAGCTGTCCTGGGGAGCTTTCTGGCCCACCTGCCATGCGCTTGAGGGCTCAGGGAGGAGCAGCAGGGCACCCAGAACCTGGCCCCCGACCCCCAATGCCAGGATCGGGGGAGGTGGGTGAGTCTCAGCCTTCATGACCTACAGTGGGACCGGTGTGTTGTTCACACGCTAAGAACTGGGCTGAGAGGCAGAGCCCCTACCCCGAGCAAGGGCCACTGGGAAGTGGGAGAAGGAGGCAGAGTCAACCAGCCTTGCATTTTCTGGCTTCCCTGCCTCTCAGCTCATGCTCTTCCCTTTCATCCCTCCTGGACTCTGTCCCAGAACTAGAGCTCCTTCCATGAAGCCTTTCCTGACCATTCCCACTTCCACACTGATCATATCTTCATCTGAGCCTGGTCATTCATTCATTCACTCACCCACTCACCCACTCTCTGACCTGTCACTTCTATTACCCATCTGTCTACTTACTCAACAAATACATGTCTGGTATCTGTCCTGTGCCCAGCACTTTTCTAAGCACTAGGGATGTAGCAGTGAACAAGGCAGGAAATCCCCTCCTTGTAGTGCTTACCGTTTAGCCAGGGAGACAGACAAAAGCTTGGCTATATTAATGAGTATACAGTGTAATCCCAAGTAGCACTATGTCCTTGAAAAAAAGGAAAGCAGGGGGAACATGAAAGGGATGGTTGAGACCTCTAAGAAGGTGATGGAATGATCAGGGACCCAAACAAAGTGATGGAGGAAGTCACATGAAATCCGATGGAAGAGCCAGTGCAAGTGCCCTGTGGCAGGCACTTGCTTACTATGTTTGCGAAACAGGAAAGTCTGAGTAGTTAGGGCTGGGGATGGGGGATGGCAGGGGGTGAGTTTAGAAACGTTGGCAGGGGCCGGGAGGAAGCAGCCCCTGTAGACAAGGACTCTAGGTTTTATTCTACATGTGAAGAGAAGCTGAGGAGTAACAGACTCGGCTTTGCACTTACTTATTTGCTTATGTGTTTTTTTGGCCTTCTGACTTACAGAATTGGGTTAATAATTTTTGCTTCATGATACTCTCATCATTGGTCAATTCATGGACCTTTCTGTGTATCGTTTACATATTTATGCAAGTATTCTGGTGCAGTAAGGGCCTATGAATCTACCATCCAATGGGAAAACTAGCATGTGCTAGCAGAATATGTGATGTTTAAAACTCGGGCTGCTGTGTGGCAAGACTATAGGAGGTAAGAGTGGACCCTGGGAGGGAAGCCAGTGAGGAGGTGATAGAGTATCAAGAAGAAGAAGCTGGGTTGGTAGCAGCAGAGGTGGAGTAGTTGAGTTTGGGATAAATTCTGCAGGTAGAGCCCCAGGACTGACTGTTGGATTGGACATGGGGTGGATGCTGCTAATCCATGAGTTCAAGAATTAAGTCACTAATTCTTCATTCTTTCAGTGCTTGCTGGTAACTGCTTACTATCTGTTAAGTCCTTTATAAAACATACATTCCATGTTCCACATAGTCCCTGCCCTGCTCACAGCCTAGAGACAGAGATAAATAAACACACTTAAAACACTTTGGAATAAGTGCTCTGATCCAGGAAGCCCAGGGAAGGAAGGGTTCGTTCATTTTTCTGGGAGAGAAGAGAAGGATGGTTAGTTATGACCTGCACAAAACAGATGCTCAGTTCGTTCATTCTATTCTATTCTATTCTATTCTATTCTATTCTATTCTATTCTATTCTATTCTATTCTATTCAGAGAATGCACACAGGGAGGGGCAGGGAGAGAGAGGGAGAGAGAATCCGAAGCAGGCTCTGCACTGTCAGTGTGGAACTCTCCACGGGGCTCAATCTCAAAAACTTGAGATCATGACCTGAGCTGAAATCAAGACTTGGATACTTCACCAGCCGAGCCATCCAGGCGCCCCAATGCTCAGTTCTTATTGTCCCATCTCATGGCTTGATCTGAGCAACTGATTAAATTCTTTAGTTGTGTGTGTGTGTGTGTGTGTGTGTATAGATATATATTTTTTTACTTTAAAATTGTTTTTAATAGTCATAATTTTTAAAATGTGTAAGGTTCAGAGCAAAGACAGAATTTCATATACCAGTCAAAGTCTATCCTTGATTAATCTTCTAGAGCTCAATCTCTCAGGCAGTGAAGAACATGAAAGAGAATGGGGAAGTAGAGGGGGAAATGTGTCCTTTCTCTCAAATATATCTTATTTATGTGCATTTGGGAAGATCACACCAAGGACATGAATGAGACCACCAAGGACAGGGGTCTAGTCTGGGCTTCCCAGGTCCTGGATTCTAGTATTGCTGTTTGGTCCCAGGCAGCTGTTTTCCTCTCCAGGAAGGGGGGGACAGCAGGAGAGGGCATGGGGAAGAGCAGCGATGGTCAGGGCAGACGCCATCCGGCATTCCAGAAAGTATGTAGCAACAGAATATTATTTAGTCTTAAAAAGCAAAGAGCTCCTGACAGAGGCTGCAGCAGGGATGAACCTTGACAATATGATGCTAAACGCTGTGAGCTGGTCACAGCCACAATGACCAATGCTGTAGAGTCCCTCTCGCAGGAGGCACGGAGAGCAGCCCATTCACAGACTCAGGAGGCGCCGTGAGGAAGTGGGGAAGTGTTCGTTCTAATGGGCATAACATTTCAGTCGAGGAAGATGAAAACGTTCTGAAGATGGATGGTCCTGACTCTTGCGCATCAGTGAGTATACTTCAGGCTACTACATTGTACCCTTAGAGATGGGTAAGATGCTGAATTTTATGTTGTATATATTTTACCACAATTAAAAGAATATATAAAATCCTCATTTTTTCCCCAAGATCCCCTCTGCATGGGGAGAAATTCCCACCTGGCTGACCAAGCTTCCCTGAGTTTCTAGCTCTTTCCATGCTCTAGGACATGACTCCCGCTTAACAGGAGGAGTAGAAGTAGAGCCAGTAGTAGAGCCCCAGGCAGCAAAGAGCAGGTGCCAGGGTCTGGGGACAGACACCAAGGTCCCCAGATTTGCATTCAGTCTGGCCTCCATGAGAAGGACCCCCTGGTGATAGGGAGTGTGTGTCGTTTGTCCTCATCCTTCTTCTAAGGGCACAGGACAATGGGGCTGAGGGAATAGGCAGGTTTGACCACTGTGCTTGCTGAGGTGGCTGTGGGCGGTTTGTGGGGACAGGCTCAACACCCTTGTAAGAAAGCCTCAGGCCACACCGACTTGGAATGCTTTACTGACCTAAGCCCAGAGGGCTACGGGATGGGTTCCAAGCAGGGTCTGAACACAGGAAGGGAGGCCTGGCCAGCTTTCAGTCAAGGCTCAGAGGATGCAGGCATGGTCTTCAATGACTCTTTACATCTTCCCTGTAATAGAATAGTCAGTTTCCTTGTTGGCCTGCCTTTTGGTGGCCTAGGGCCAGAGCCGGACCCCTTACCCACCCCCTTCAACAGCCACCCTCCCAGGGACCCCCTCAGCTCTCTCACTTCCCGCCCTGATCACTGCCACCCTCGCCTTCATCATCTCTGTCCACCCTGTCATCCCCTGTGAAGGTTACATTGCTGCCTTCCCTGGGCAGCACCACCACTAACATGAAAAGGTCTAACTATATTCACCAATACCGCTTCCGTCTTTGCCATCCATACCGCCTTCAGCCACAGCCTTGCTGTCTCTACCCTGGCACCTCCACTCCCACTGGTGCCAGCGCCTCTTCATGACACATCCTGGTCGTTCCCGACATCCTCACCCCCCATGGTAACATCACCACGGCATCGCCACCACAGTCCACACTGTACTACCTCCCTTCCCACGAGCACCACCACCTGATCACCAGCACTGCTTCCCCTGTTTCTATCAGAGGACTCACCACAGGGCTTTGCAGACCCTCTGACAGGTCTCTTCAGACTGAAAATTGTTGGCATTGCCCTGACAGCCGCCATAGACAAAGGGCTCACATCTACTGGTTCTGGGGTTGTAGAAGTAGCGGTTGAAGGAGGCTTGGCAGGGGCCCGAGACTCGGTGTAACTGGCACAGGGCAGGCCGGGTTTCAGCCAGTTCCTGGGAAGACTCTTGGCTGAAATAGACTGCAGGGGTGAGGAGGGACAGGGACTGTCACTTAGGTGTCCTTTTAAAGGAGTGATATAAGTATTTTTCTTTTAGAAGCATGTCTTCTACGCCATCTAAGCCCCCTGCTAAGTGCTTGCCATATGTTGCATGATCTAAATGACCTTGTGGAGTAGATATTACTGTCCCTCCTCCACAAATGAAAAAACGGAGGCTCAGTGATGTTTGGTCATCTTCCAAAAATCATAAAACCTAGCAGTTGAGGCCTAGAGTTTGAAGCCATTTCCAATTTCAAATCCCAGGCTCTGCATGCTACAGCTTCTCATTACTTGACTCAAGCTATTGGGTGTAGCCTTGTTTACAATTGCAAACAACCATACTTTGGGGAAAAAAATAAATATTTACCAACAGGGGATTGAGGGATTACATGCAGTCATTGATAAGAATAGTGCTGATCTATATGCATCAACACGGAGAGAGGTCCTTAATTTTGTTGAACAAAAATCAAATGAAAGAAGACAAGATCCAGAATGGTCCTGTTAATGTATAATATAACGATAAGCCCGTCCAGTGATGATTAGAAAGTTGTTTACCACTATATTTGTAGTAATTTTCCTGTGTGATGGAATTTCAAGTGATTTTTATATTCTAATTATTTTTAGTGTAATTTAAACGACAAAGAACAAGTATCATTTTTTTATAACTAGGAAAAAGGTATTTAAACAATCTTCAGTATCCATGAGTAATCAAAAGATGGACATATTTTACTAAATCACTTGTTATTTTAACTCCTTTCCTATCTGGCTCTGGTTATCACATGAAGTGATTTATCAAACATATGTGTATGTACCTCCTCATGTGTGTATACGCATGTGTGTATACCCACATCCTCACCCATTATTTGGCTGTGGACACATGGGATCTCAGTGTTCACGGATGCAACACACACTGGTTTGATATGTACACTCCCCAACAAGGATTCACCCTCAGGCAATGAGCTCATGGGTCAATTCTGCTCCATGGTACCATTTTGTGAATCCTCAATTGATATGACATTCTCCATATCCTGGGAGAACCCATTCTTCCCTAGAATTGGAAAGAAACCATTCTAGGAAGGGAGTTCAAGGTCTTTCATTAGGGCAGCACTTACCAATCTTGGTGGGACATTAGAATCCTCTTGGGAACTATAAAGAAATCCCAATGCCCAGGCTTTACCCAAGACTAATTAAATCAGAATCTGGGAGTATGGAACCCACATAGCCCCTAGGTGACTCCAGTGTATTGCCACATTTCAGAACCTGATCTCCTTTTTATTTAAAAATATTTTTTAAAAATATTTAAAAATATTTTATTTAAAATTATTTTTAAAAAATAAATATTTATTTATTTTTGGGAGAGAGAGAAAGAGAACAGGGGAGGAGCAGAGAGAGTGGCAGACACAGAATCTGAAGAAGCCTCCAGGCCCTGAGCTGTCAGCACAGAGCCCAATGTGGGGCTCAAACTCACGAACCTCAAGATCATGACCTGAGCCAAAGTTGGACACTCAATCGACTGAGCCACCCAGGTGGCTCTGATCTCCTTTTTAAAGCAATATGAAAATCTATGTTCTCTTGTAAGAATTCTAGGAGTAGGATTCTGGAGGGCAGGATTGTTTGGGCTGTGTAAAATAGGGGACGCACTTTTTAACTTCACACACTTCCATATTATTTGTCTTTTTAAGACAAACCCATGCATTGCTTTGTAATAAAAATTACATTTGGTGAGGGTTGAATTAAATCAAACAGACATCTGTGAGGTCTGACCCCAGATCTTCCCCAGACTACATGGAGACCATAGATACAACTCCTTCTGTTTCCTCCCCAAGTGGAAGTGACCAGATGGTCCTGTACAGCCAGCCCCCCACCCTATGCCTCCCTCTCACCCACAGGCTATGGGTCTCAGGGGTCCTCTTTTCTTTTTCTTGAAAGAGCGAGAGAGTGAGAGAGTGAGCGAGAGCGAGAGAGAGAGAAAGAGAGAGAGAAAGGGAGAATCTTAGGCAGGCTCCATGCCTAGCACAGAACCTGATGCAGGGCTTGATGTCACGACTGTGATATCACGATCTCAGCCAAAATCAAAAGTCAGACGCTTAACCAACTGAGCCACCCAGGTGCCCCTCGGTGATCCTCTTTATATCAGCTTACCTGAGGTCTTTCCTAAGCTGTCAATGCCCACCAGGCCAAGGGCGAGGAGCAGGCTGAACTTCATGGTGCCAGTAGATGAGTGTTCTAGACTGGGGCTGGGAGGCTAAAATTTATACCTGCAGCTGAAGCAGACGTGCCCTATTCCTCAGAGTTGAGGGAAGTATCTGGATGTTTATTACTTGGAAGAGGAAGTACCCTGGGCCAAGAGTGTTGGCCCAAAAGAATGGGACGTCTCACCCAGAGACAATGCCAGTTGCCTGGGAAGGCTTTTCGAAGGCTATTGAGCAAGCGCCCTAAGTCAGTGCTTCTGCGGCACCTGGAATGCCAGTCCTTAGCCTCATCTACTGCACACTTGAGTTCCTGTGACCTTGGACTGGTAAGTGACTTTTCGGGGTCTCGTTTTCCCTATTCCCTATCTGTAAAACAAGTGGGCTGGACAACACGGTCCTTAAGACCCCAGCTTAGCTGTGTTCCATTCTGTTGTCACTGGTTCCCATCCAGATGCTCCCAGCTCGTTGTCTCAACATCCCAGGAGAGAAGACATAGGCCGTTGCTCATTGCTTTATTTCTTTAATTTAGGAATAATGAGTTTATTGCTTTATATAAGTTATCATACTTATTTTTAAAAGATCAAGCTATACTGAATAGTACAAACAAGAAGCAAATCCCTCCCCCCAATTCTACCATAGTCCTGTGCAACAGAATTATAATGAAATATATTATAGTTTTCTAGTACCTGCATTTAAAAAAGTAAGAAGTAGGGGTGCCTGGGTGGCTTAGTCGGTTAAGCGTCAGACTTTCGCTTAGGTCATGATCTCGCGGTTCATGGGTTCGAGCCCCGCGTCGGGCTCTGTGCTGACTGCCAGCTCAGAGCCTAGAGCCTGTTTCAGTCTGTGACTCCCTCTCTCTCTGACCCTCTCCTGCTCACGCTGTCTCTCTCTCTCTCTCTGTCTCTCATAGAAATAAATAAAACATTAAAAAAAAAGTAAGAAGTAAAGCTAATTTTAATAATAGTTCCTCTAACTCAATATATCCGAAATATTACCATTTCAACATATGATCAACAGGTAATAAAAATATTAATGCGATATCTTACTCTTCTCTGTACTAAGCCTTTGAAATCTGGTGTGTATTTCACGTTTAGAGCGCATCATGATTCATACTAGCCACATGGCACGTGCTCAGTAGCCACGCGACATGACTACTATATCAAACAGTGAACTTCCACCATGTGAAGTAACTATTAGTGACTATTAGAGTTTACAGGCAGTATTTTCCCTGAATTTTTGCATATTGCCTTAATACATGAAGGGCAGTTTGATGGGGGGGGGGGGGGGAATCCTGGGTCATACTTTCTTTTCCCAGACCTGGGATCAGGGTGGACTTAGCTCCACTGAATTCTGCCAGAGAATGTTGCTAAGAAGTGGCCTGAATGTTTTTCTCCCTTAGAGGTTACTTTTTCTTCCCTAGCTGAATGCTTAAGGATTTCTCTGCTTCTCTTTGAGATGCAGTAATGTTAACAACATTATTTTGACATCATTCTGCATCTTTTTTTAAAACTGGGACTTGGAGGGCTTTTTCACTGTACGGATTTTTTAAGGGAAATTTTTTTGTATTCTTCTTTGAATATTTTCTGTTCCAGTTGCTGGATTTTCTACTCGACAGACATCAGTGATGTCAGATTATCGTCACTTGTCCTCTCGTACTTGTTAAAAGTGCGGCCCCTGGAGACAGACACATTTAAAGGTCAGCTTTTCCATTCACTATCTGTGCTCCCCCTGCCAGTCTGTTTAACCTCTCTGGACTATAGTTTTTATCTGGAGAGAATAATGGAAACTCCCTGCGTTTGGAGTCCCCAAAGCCATGCTCAGGTTCATTTCACGAAAATGACTCGGAAGTTGTTATACTTAAGGTTACAGCCAATGGATACAGATTGAAACCAACAAAGTGACCAAGCGGAGGGTGAGAAGAATGGAGGCAACCAGGCACAAGCTTACCTCCCCCAGTCCAGTCGCACAGGATGTGTTTCACTCCCCACCCAATGCTTCTGAAGTGTTGCCCGCACACCAAAGCCTGGGTTTTTTGGGTTTTCCTTGCGGTCAGTCACCAAGTATACGACCAACTTAGCCTAGCACAGGAGTCTTGGATTTGGGTGGTGAGCACTCTGAGAGCCCCAAGGTGCTTGACGCATACCACCAACTTTGCAGCTTGGCTTTGGAGATTCCCATCTGTACTACATCTGTTATTCCTTGCGCAAGAAGATTCCTTTATCTGTTTGTTTTTGTTTTTATTTATTTTTATTTTTTAAGTTTACTTATTTATTTTGAGAGAGAGAGAGAGTGAGCAGGGGAGGGGCAGGGAGAGAGTGAGAAAGAGAGAGAATCCCAGGCAGGCTCCATACTGCCAGCATGAAGCCCAACATGGGGCTCGAACCCATGAACCGTGAGACCATGACCTGAACAGAAATCAAGAGTTGGATGTGTGGAAATCAAGATTTGGATGCATGCGGCACCTGGGTGGCTCAGTTGGTTAAGCCTCCCACTTCGGCTCAGGTCATAATCTCACAGTTCGTGAGTTTGAGCCCCACATCAAGCTCAGTGCTAATAGCTCAGAGCCTGGAGCCTGCTTTGGATTCTGTGTCTCCCTCTCTCTCTGCCCCTCCCCAGCTTGTTCTCTGTCTCTCTCTCAAAAAATAAATTAAAAAACAAAACAAAACAAAAAAAGGGTTGGATGCTTAGCCAACTGAGCCACCAGGGTGCTCCAAGAAGGCTCCTTTAAAGTGGCAGATGCCCTAACAGGTTTTAATAGTCCAACTTGTGCCTACTTAGAATTTGATGTGCCATTGGCCAGGATTCCTTATTTTAATTTATTAACCCAAGTTCCCCAGCAGTTTATGCTGTGAACATACCTCAAGTCTTCGTGAGTTCCCTAATGGCTGCCACTCACTGTGGGCACTCCATATAACTGTCCTGTAACCTTTCCAGGATCCTGGAACCTTTCTGGAAACAATATCTACATGCACACACAAGTATATTGTTTGGACCAGAGAGCTGCACACAAGGGAGCAGAGCTCAAATCTGAGATTGACTCACCCACAGTCCTCAGGAACCATGAGAGGAACAGTGAGCCCAGACTGTTCAGTGGACTCCTCGCCCGGGTGTCTGGTTTTGGGCCACAGGCTGTTAGCAGACAACTTCGGATCCCTTCCTCATACCAAAAACTAATAAAAACGATTAAAGGTAATTTGGTGATACAAAATAACTTTATTTAACACTTCACAAAGTAGGCAATCTCCATTCCCGAGGAACTGCAAAGTAGAGGGCAGGTAGATTTTATAGGATAAAAAATAAGGAACAAGGAAAAGAAGGAAAATGAAGAAGGAGCCAGGAAATAAGTATAGAGCCCAGAGCCAGCCTGGCCTTTGGGGATTGCTCACCCGCTGTACTGTGTTTCTGGTCAAGCAGAGCGTTTGCAGAAGCATGAAAGTTTCAGTTTCCCGACTCAACAGCTTGGGTAGGAGTGGCTCCAGCTTGGGCTGAGAAATTTATTTCAACTTGGGCCTGAGATCAGAGCCTAACTTTCCGACTGGGAGTTTGGTGTGATAATGATGATCACAATAGGAACCTTGAATTATTGAGCATTTACTCCCCATGGGCACAAAGCTCAATCTTCTACATTCATTAGTTTCAGATACTCTCACAACAACCCTTAGAAATGGGAGTTGATTTTATAAACAACCCCATTTTGCAAATGAGGGCACCAAGGCCCAGAAACTCTAAGAAATTTGCCAAATTCAGGCCCTCCTGCCTGTGACACATGCTGTTGAAGGGGTTCAGGACAAGATTCCCCCAAATTGTGTCATTTTGGCATATGGACTATTTTTTTTTTAATTTTTAAATGTTTTTATTTATTTTTGAGAGACAGAATGTGAGCGGGGGAGGGGCAGAGAAAGAGGGAGACACAGAATCCGAAACAGGCTCCAGACTCTGAGCTGTCAGCACAGAGCCCACCGCGGGGCTCAAACTCATGAACCACGATATCGTGACCTGAGCTGAAGTCAGACACTTAACTGACTGAGCCACCCAGGCGCCCAGATCCTGCAGGCTCAAGAGGCATTTTTGCACCTCCCTTAACTCCCTGGATGAATTGAAGTTGGGGATCTTTCCCAGAGTCAGAGTTTCTACCAGAGATAATGTTTATCCGACTGACTCTTCTGTGTGGCAGGGCGAACATCTAATTACCAAACATCTACCCTTCTTATTGTCCTGTGACTTGCCCCCCTCCCCTTGAAAGCCCGACACCCCGATCCCATACTTTAGCCCAGGAAGGCCTCTAGACCTCATTTTACCTTTTTGTCTTTGAACTTCTCACGTGTGTGGTGCTTCCACACGTACAGAATTAAATTTGACTTTCCCCTGTTAATCTGTCTCCTGTCAATTTAATTCTTAGACCGGCCAGAAGAGTCTTTAAAAGGTAAAGGAGGGGCGCCTGGGTGGCTTAGTCGGTTAAGCGTCTGACTTTCGCTTAGGTCATGATCTCGCGGTTCGTGGGTTCGAGCCCCACGTCGGGCTCTGTGCTGACAGCTCAGAACCTGGAGCCTGTTTCAGTCTGTGACTCCCTCTCTCCCTACCCTCCTCTGCTCACGCTGTCTCTCTCTCCTAGAAATAAATAAAACATTTAAAAAAATAAATAAATAAAAGGTAAAGGAAAATGCTTCCTCTCCAAAGCCACCTTGCTGGTACCTTGTACTACTAGTTCAGCTTGTCTTAAGCATGAGATAGGAGTTAAGGCATTTCCTCTCCCAAGGGCACTTAGTGGGTCCTGGTGATCCAATGACAGCTGGACTAGAGGGTGTCTCTGTAGTAGCTGGGTGAGGGCGACATTGTACTGTGGAGCCTCATTACCTCGCGCAGACAGTGTGATGTGGTGCAAGTGCACTGAAATCTACTCAATTGCTTAATCCTCTGAGGGAGAGGGGGTCTAGGGGACTCCTTTTTTGCCAAAGAAGTCAAGTGACTTGTACTGGTCACACGGTAGACATTGTGACCATTTCAAAGAAGCAAG